AGGAGATGGACCCTTCATTTTTGATTGCCGGAAGGATCATCCAGAGGGCAAAGGTAGAACAGATATAAACCAAGGAAAGGGTGTGATTATCTGTACAAATTGTCTCAAAAACAATATTTGTATAAGATTTGGTCAGACATGAAAGATTCTAGACCTCGGGAGTTAGTTTTCTGACCCTATTTTGTTTTCCTAAAGCTTGTTATTTGCATAAAAGGAAGTGAATTATTGTGGTAATTGTTCAGTGGAAATTTTGAAAGATTCCCAGAAGTAAGTTCAGTGTTTTTCGTAATGGAGAAACCTAAAGAGTCCAGGCATGAAGTGATTATAGTACCAGACTAATAATGGAAGAACATGAATCCCACTGTGGTGTTTTGCAAGCTTGAATTTGGCTTCAGAAAACTTGAAAATAACAGGCTGATTTTAGTGAAAATGAATGAAACTGCTGAAATGTTGCAAAATAAAGCATGATTTCACTACTGCCTTTAGAGAAGAAAACCTGCCCTCTTTCTTGATCTGTCTTACATGACGTTATAATCTCTTTAGAGACTGATAACTTTTGAAAGGGAACTCAGACTCCAGTTTGTGGCTGAAAGGATGACATAGCAAATTTCATGCCTTTACAACTTTTACTACTGACCAAACACTATCTTGTAGGCAACTTATACCTTAAATCACAAAGCAGAACTTTGATCATCTTCTCTTAGCATCACCAAAAGCACTTTTCACTGATATAGTATAATGTCCACTGACCTTTAAGTGGACATTCAGTTCTCCTGGAACTAGTCTGAGATAATTCTTAGCCCCAGGGAATTATTTCAGGCTGGGAACTTGTAATCTTAAAACGGTCTTTCATTGTTGACCCCTGGAGATTCTTCCTCTAGTGTGAGCTAAACAAATCTTCCAGCTTTGTTTTAACTTCTTGTGAATTTGATGTTTTAAGTCTGAGTGCAAACTCTCATTCGTATTCTTGTATGTCAAGCCACAGCGTCTTGCTACCTATAGCTGCTCTGTCTTTCCTAGATCCTGGCCTGGGTTACTTTGAACTTTTCCCCTTCTCAAAGCCTATCTCCATGGCAATATGTATCACATGGTCCTTACCTCATCAGTTTTTCTATTTGGATGTATTTCTGAGATTCTAATACTCTTTTATTTTGGAAGTAAATGGATAGGTAATTTTAAGACACAACTATTTACAGTATGATATTTGACTTTTAGAGACACTTATAGGACTTTGTTAACAGTGGATAGACTGAGCGTGTCCAGAGGCTGCCACCATTGTTTCCTTGTGTAAACACCTTGCACCTTCTTCCCAGTAAAACAATCTTGGTCCTTCTCGAACCCCCAACAATCAAATCACCCAGGCTTCTTGTCAGGCAGAGTTCAGGACATGTCTCTTGATCCTCTTCAGTTCACCTCAGGTTTTGAGGTTGTACCTTCAACTTAATTTTATTAACCTCATAATCATATCAATGGGACTCCCCTGGGGTGGTGATGCGGCAAGGTACTCAGCTGTATCAAACTGCTGCTGTGATTTAGGAATTCCCCAGGGCAACTAGAGATGGGTGCAAATGCCAATCACGCCAGTGACATCCAATTAAAGGAAAACGTAGTAATGAATTCTGTATTAATAGCTGATTGTCACATGTACAATTCATGTGAAAGTATAACATTTACATGCTTTAGACATGCAGGCAGGGAAGTCCCATTGCTGGTACTGTATCACAAACACTGGAGGAGTGGTTCCTGTAACTGCTTTGTGTTGCCTGGAGACATTCTTTTCTGGTTACGGCATGATTCACTGGTCTTGCGGGTATCATGAACCTCCAATCACAAGGAAAAAAAAAGTTTAACATAAAGCTTTTGAAGTGGTTATACACCATAAATGCTTAAATGAACAATAATCTGCACTATTTTTGTTTCTTCTGAAACTTCTGCTAAGCAACAGTCAACAGTTCTGCAGGAAACACAGTTTTGTGATTTCTAGTAAAAGCCATTGCCCAGCTGCTAGGGGAAATAATATTTGCTTACAGTTAAATAATATAGAGCAGCTTATACTCCGAGAGCCATTGAAGTCAAGTTTTCACACCACTTCAATTTATTTTCTCATCTTAAAACCATAAGGTGTAGGAACAGTGGTAGGTCATTGGGGCCCCTTGAGTCTGCTCCACCATTCATTGAGGTCATAGGAACATAGAAAAATAGGTGCAGGAGTAGGCCATTCTGCCCTTTGAGCCTGTACCACCATTCAATACGATCGTGGTTGTTCATGCAATCTCAGTATCCCATTCCCACACTCTCCCCATATCCCTTCATCCCTTCAGCCGCGAGGCCTACGTCCATCTCCCTCTTGAACATATCTAATGAACTGGCCCCAGCAGCTTCCAGTGGGAGAGAATTCCACAGGGTCACAACTGTGAGTGAAGAAATTCTTCCTCATCTCAGTCTTGAATAGCTTACCCCTTATTCTTAAACTGTGACCCCGAGTCCTGGACTTTCTCAACACTGGGAACATTCTTCCTGCATCTAGCCTGCCCAGTCCCATCAGAATTTTGTATGTTTCTATGTGATCCCCACCCCCCCCACCTCATACAAGCCCAGTCAATCCAGTCTTTCCTTGTATGTTAGTCCTGCCATTCCCGAGAATCAGTCTGGTGAACTTCACTGGAGTCCCTCAATAGCAAGAATGTCCTTCCTCAGACGAGGAGACCAAAACTGCACACAATACTCAGTTCTTTTGGTTTTCATTTAGTATTTAACTTACTGCCATATCTCTTCCAAGCATGCCCACCTTGAAGTTCTGCTTCTCTCTCCAGGATTTCCGTTCCAATCTTGTTTCCATGTCCGCAGACATTAATTTCACTGTCACTCTTGGTGTTTGACCAGATATTTGCTAAAACTCATTTCCACAGCCACATCATATTTCTCTCTTCCTACCTTGTCTCGGTCTTTTCTTGCCTGCTTCAGTCTCTGCTCCCACTGTACATCCGTGATTTCTCTGATGGTTTACGTCAGTTTCGGAATTTCCAGTTTGCACGCTCCGGCTGCCTCCTCTTTATCATGGACATGCAATCCTTTTACATGTCCGTCCCCCACCAGGGTGGTCTCAGGGCTCTCCGCTTCATTCTGGAGCAAATGCCCGAACCGTTCCTACCCACCACCACCACCACCATCCTCCGCGTGTCCGAGCTCATCCTCCCCCTCAACCCCTCTTTTGACTCCTATCGTTTTCTTCAGGTCAGAGGAATGTGGGCCCCAGTTATGCCTGTCTGTTAATGGGGTATGTGGAACATTCCTTGTTCCAGTCCTATTCCGTCCTGATTAAAAATCTGTCTATCTTAGCCTTTGGTACACTTAATGGCACAGCTTGAACAGCCCTCTGCAATAAAGAATTCCACAGGGTTTACTGTCCTCTGAGGGGGGGAAAAAATTCCTCCTCATCTCTCTGAAATAGGTGAATCCTTACTCTGAGGTTCTACACACTCCCTCAAGGGGAAAACCTTTCCTTATCTACTCTGTCAAAATCTATAAGAGTCTTATGTTTCAATAGGTCTCCTCTCATTCTCGTAAATTCCAGTGAGTACAAGTCCAACCTTCTCAATATCTCCTCGTAAGAATATCCCTCCATGCCCGTGTTCAAACCAGTGGAACCTTCCCTGGACTGCCTTCAATACCAGTATATCTCCCCTTAGATAAGGGGACTAAAACTATTCATAGTATTCCAGCTGTGATCTTACCTGTGCCTTGTATAATTTTAGTAATAACTCACTATTCTTACTCTCCGTTGCCTTTGAAGTAAAGGCCAACATTCCATTTACCTTCCCTATTACCCATTGAATTTGGATGTATGAATCTCAAAACATTAGCAGAAGGACTCCCAAATCCTACTGTGCTGCAGCTGTCTCCACTTAAATACTAATTAGGCTGTTGTGTTCTTCCCATCAAAAAGTGCATTTTCCCTTATTAAGTTCCATCTGCCTAGTTTTTGCTCATTTAACCTGTCTATAACCCCTCGTAGACTTCTTTTGTCACCCTCACAACTTGCCTTCCCACCTATTTTAGTGTCGTATCCAAACCTGACAATAGTATATTCACTTCTGTCATGCAAGTCATTAATATATATAAATAGTAAGTAATTGTGGTCCTTGCATTGAACTTTGTGGCTCCATCCTCAAAATGCCCTCTTTATCCGAACTGTCTGCCTTCTATTATTTAGCCAAACTTCTATCCAAGCCAATATACTACCCCCAACACCACAGCATCTTATTAAGTAAACTTACAAAGAAGGTCTTAAGTGTTGTCTAAATCTCACGGGGTGCAATATTTTCAAAATAGAATTACATTGGGGATAGATGGAAATGTGGAACCGAGACCACAAGTGGAGCAACCGTGATTTTATTGAATGGCAGAGCAACCTCAAGTGACTGAATGGCCTATTCCTGCTCCTAATCTATATGTCGTTATGTTGTATGTTATTCGTATGGAGCACATTAACATGGTAGCGAGAATTTTTTCACATTCCAAGCATGGGTGTAACACACCTTTGAACAGTAAGTTTTTAACTTTTCAGGTCTGATTGAATGTCATTTATCTGAGGTGTTAACTGCACCTTTTCTTCAGATCTGATAGGTCTTCCCATTTTATGTTTTGTGTATGTGTACATTTTTATAGAGATGGTGTCTTGTGTGAGGCCTGTTTGTCCCCTGTATAGTACATTCTGGACTGTTCCACAGCCATGCTCCCATGTTGTTTAGAAAGAATGTTGAGTGCGCTTGATCTGGAATGATTTGTTCAGTGTGGGTATGTAAAACAATAACTGTTGGCACATTTGACAATGTAAAATTGGCAAGTTTTGTTTGCAACTGATGTTTACTTTTCTTCACACAGAGTTGGCAGGAAGGAGTTGATTTGTGTTCAGGGATATATCAACACCTGAAGGAGTATGTGCCTCTAGTGTTTTGCTCGGGATCGGAAGCCAAGTCACCTGAGGAGAATCAGGCGTATCAAACATTACTACAAAGCTTGGAATGGTATCTGTTCGGAGAAAACCCAGCAGATGGCTTTGCAAAGCTGGAACAAAGCAGCAGTTCTTCACAGCTCTGTGGTCGAGTTTTCAAAGTGGGAGAGACTACATATTCCTGCCGGTGAGAAGACATGTAAATTGAGTGCAGCTTTTGCCTCCCCATCACTTTTTTTGCTTTGTAAATGGCTTTTGCTCTCTTGAGACTCTTTGTATTCAGACATCTTTTGCTTGTTTCCTGCAGAATTCAAAGGCAGTTGAAATATGTTATAACAAAAATCAAGAACAGGAGCGATCTTTCTTACTTTTATGAAGCACCTACCACTATCACAAAGCAATTTCTATTTAGTGAAGTACTTTTAAAGACTTCATTTATGAGAATATGTGACAGTGAATTTGCACAAATCAAGCTCTCGCAAACAACAATGTGATAATGACCACATAATCTGCTTTTATCTATGTTGTTTGATTAAAAAACTGGTCAGAACTCCCACTTTTCAAATACTGCCATGTGATGGTTTTTTTTCATCTGAGAGGGCGAATGGGCCTCAGTTTAATGCCTCATCAGAAAGGTGACACCTCTGACTGTGGTACAGATAATTAAGAACTTTTGCAAGTGTTTAAGTTGTAAAAATTGTGTTTGGTTTGGAGTGCTTCCTCATTATCTGAAGTCTTCATGCATTTCATTAGCATGCTGCAACAGATTTCAAGAAGAACATGTCTCTTCTGAGTGCCATAGGTCTTAATTCCATATTTCAAGAAAAGCTACTGTTTCTCAAATGTAAACATGTTGCCAACCAATCCCTGTGTATTGTGTAAAGGAAGCATCCACACGGCTGATTTGCTACATTATCAAATCTGGCTGCTGTTAATCTGTGTGAAGTGGCAGCACTCCCTTGATTTCGAGGCAAGAAAGTCACAGGCTGGCTTTCCATTCCGAAGGCATGAACATGAAATCCAGGGTGACACTACAGTGCCATACAGACAGACAACTGTACACTTTTATAGTATTTTTTACAATCTCAAAGCGTCCAACATTGCTTTGCAGCCATTTTGTGCAGAACAATATCCAAACAATACCCAAAAATGCTAATGAGATAAGTATTTTAAAAAATTTATTCACTGAATGAAGGCTTCACTAGGCCATTTCAGAAGTCACATAAAAGTCCAAAACATTGCTGTAGATCTAAAGTTGCATTTAGACCAGGACATTGGGAAACATGTTTTTTTTTGTCATTCTGGCAGTTTTGTTGTTGCACTTACTGATTCTAGCTTTTTATTTAGTTTTTATTCCAGCTTCGTTTCGTTGACTGAATTTAAGTTCCTCAGCTGCCATTCGAATTTGTCTTCACATCATTAATCCAGGGACATATAATAGGGATAAAACTGACCACAACTCTAGAAAGAACTCAAGTGATGTGTTACCGTAAAAATTTTTATATTCACTTTTGAGGCAGCTGGAGCCTCAGTTATGGTTTAATTTTAGAGTGTCACCAGTTATATAAATTGAAATGACAGTTTTTCCTTCCCTTGTCTTGAAAATCCTTTTATTCTGTTTATTGTTAATTGATTCTAGAAGGCAGTTTGGCCTCTCACTTTCTTACAGCACGCACAAAATAGCTCGTTTTCCATACATTCGTTATCAGACTTGTTGCCTTGAAGGAGTTCTGCACTATAATTGGTGACCTCCCTTGACTGTAAAGCACTCTGTGATGTGCTGTGATCATGAACATGCTATATACATGCACATGCGCACTCTCTCTCTCTCTCTCTCTCACACACACACACACACACACACACACACACACACACACACACACACACACACACACACACACACACACCCTCCCCATCTTTCTCATAGTGCTTAACGTTAACAGATTGTATAGTGTACGGATCTAAGCTGCTTGTGTGTTATGTGAGTGGTGAGCTAAAGAATGCCAGGCTCCCAGCTGAGGAAATGTATGTGTGTGTTGGGAAAGAGATAACCAGTTCAGGGATTATTTCTCCATTGCGTCCCAAAAGGAGGCATTGCTATTCTTCTTTGAACATGTGGTAAATTAATCCAAATTAACAATATTTCTTATTCATGTCAGTAGGCCATAAACTCTGATTTACCTGGTTTAGTTTGCAGCTTGATGTTCAGGTAGCAGTAATAGAACTCTAATCCACTAACAGTTCTCAGCAGGTACCAAGGCTGTTTATACTTTATTCTTTGGCCTGCACCAAATGAGCTAAAAAATAAACATGGCCATTTTGCACTTTCAAATACTTGAGTTGGTTGGCAATTGCAGGGCAGGAATTGAGAGGAATATTAAATTATAGGAGGCACAGAGGGAATTTTTTAGAATAGGACCGGAAATGAAGGACTTCATTTATGTGGAGATACCAAGAAGAGAAGCAAGGATTGTTTTCCTTGGAACAAGGAAGATTAAGGGAAGATTTAATGGAGAAGTTTTAATAGACCAGATAGGGAGAAAATAGGTCTACTGGCAGGAGTATTGGTAATCGGAGCACACAGATTTAAGATTATTAGCAAAACAGCTGGGGAAATTGTTAAATACCAGAAGTTAAACTAAGTAAATGGGCAAAGCTGTGGCAGATGGAGTTTGATGTAAGCAAGTGAGAGTTTATCTATTTTGGACCGAGCAAGGATAGATCAGGGCAATTTCTAGACAGTATGAAGTTAAATACAGTGGATGTCCAAAGAAATTTGGGGGTTCAGGGACATAGACCTTTAAAATGTCATAAACTGGTGTGAAAAATAATCATGAAGGTTAATGGCTGGCCTTGATATCTAGAGGATGGGAATGTAAGGATACAGAAGTTACGCTGCAGTTATCAACACCCTGGTTGGAACCCACTTGGAGTACTGTGAACAGATCTGAGCACCATAGGTTTGGAAGGATATGCTGGCCTTGGAGTAAAACAGGCCTTAAATTATAAGGAGAGACTACACAAATTAGGCCTGTTTTCTCCAAAGTTTAGAAGGTTAAAGGGTGATCTGATCTAACTCTTCAAGATGTTAGCAGGAAAAGACAGGTAGATAAAGAGAAACTACTTCCACTGGTTGGGGATTGTAAGAATTAGGGCCAGACCATTCAGGAGAGATTTAGGAAGTACTTCTACGCAAACAGTGGAACTCTCTTGCACAAACTGTAGTGGATGCTAGATCAGTTGTTAACTTTAAATCTATGTTAGATAAATTCTTGTTAAACAACGGTATTGTGGTATGTGGCCCAAAGACAGGTATATGAGTTGGGCCACAGGTCAGCCATGATCTCATTGAATGGCGGAACAGACTCGAGAGACTGAATGGCCAACTGCTGTTCCAATGTTAGACAGAGTCCAGTCGTATACTTTTTCGAGCCAGAGTTTTGTTTTAGCGCTAAAACAAAAAACTCCAGCCCCACTGCTTGTACCTGATATATATAAGGGTTTTTGTGCTGCAGTGGTAGTGTCCCTACCTCTAAGCCAGGAGGCCCCGGTCAAGTCCTGTCTGCTCCAGAGTTGTGCAATAAGATCCCTTAATAGGTTGATTTGAAAAAAATGATGTATATTTATGCAGCCTGTAAAGATTTGCAATATACTGTCTGAATCAAATATATATTCAATTCCTTTATAAAGGAAAACGAACATGTACGTGAAGGGGAGAGATCTACAGGCTATAAGTTAACATTGGACTAATTGGTTAGCTCGATGAATGTTGACTGAGAGCGATGGACCAGAAAGTCACTGCTAGAAGATTCTATGACTGGGAAATTGGGTCACAAGTATGATCAGATTTTAACGTGGAATTTATAATGTGCCATCTTTGTTTCAGAGACTGCGCTATTGATCCCACTTGTGTACTATGCGTGGACTGTTTCCAGAATAGTGTTCACAAAAATCATCGGTACAAGGTATACTATGTTATTCCTGGTCAGTTTTTTTTTTTTTTTTGCTGCATTTTATTCTGATGTGTGAAAGCTTATATCAGTAATTTGCATGTAGTGAATTGCAAGAGGTTTTTTAACAATGTATTCTTATGATGTGGGCATTCATGATGGCAAGACCAGTATTTGATGTCACTTGCTAGTTGCCTTGAGCTGCTGCACCTGTGTTGAAGGTGCTCTGATAGTTCTATTACATCGTGTTCCAGGGTATAATACCAACAATGATGTAGAATGGTGTGTTACTTGGAGGTGATGGTATTGTTGTATATCTGCTACCCCCATTTTCAAGATTGGTGGAGGTCATGTGTTTGGGACGTGGAAAATTCTGAGATTAACGAGCTCTTTCTAATAAAATCTGTCATTTGGTTTTGCACCCGCTGTTCTTGTCACCTGTGGGAGAAGTAGCCAGGGAACCAGTCTGACTGATCTTACAGGTAACAGTACTTATGAAGTTGCTATGTATTTAAGATCATCTGGAGGACTCAAGTTTTGAATGATTATGGAAAAATGACTCATTTCAAGTTTGAAATTGAAATTTCACTGTAGATTTTTTTCTCTAAGGAAGCTCTTGCTAAATAGTGTCTGATGTGGAGAGGATCTTGTTTTATCAGTTGGAGGAAAACCTCTAAGAATGAATATAATTGGGGGAAAGCTTGCTAAAAACATGCCGCCCAGCTAATCTTTCTCATTTCTGTAAAGAAAATCCTCTTGATGAGTTCAGAGTGAATCCTATTTGACCGTTTGAAAAAAGGTGATGGAAGGATCTTCAAGGTTGTTGTTTACAAGCAGGCGGTGTCTGAAAGACTTCAGAGGAACTGTGCATGATTAGTGACATAACCACACATGCTAGAACATCAGAGCAATAGAACATCCTATATTTTATTCTTTTGCTTTCAAGAATAATCCATTGGCCATTTTTTTTCCCAAGAAAGCCAATCTTGGAGATAATTTTTCTCTTTTCCTGAAGAGCATGTATGTTTGTGAGCAAGTTTTGATGAAGTACATATAATATTAGAGACACTCGGTGTATATTAAACCAATTATTAGGTCTCTATTGAATAAGTTTTATTTTAATAATAAACCAATAATTGTGTTTATTAGGAAACCTAGTTGATATATCTTGTTGGTTAGAACCTGATATCGATTAAGTATTTCATTGGCTGGTAAAATAATTTTTATGTTGTGACCCATGAAGTAATGGCATTAGACCGACAGCGCAATTCTCCAGCTTCAGTCAATACAAACAATAAAGCAGCCTTTAAGGAACTCTGACTCCTCCAATACCAATTACAGTTTCTTATGGAGAAGAATTAAAATAGGATTGTTTCTGTTGCATTCTTTTAGGGATTGGCTGCAATAGTGATTTAAAAACTGTTTTATTTTGTGCCTCAATTTTCAGTTTCCTGGTTCCAGCTGCCCCTTCACCATTGATGTGCAATGCATGCACGCATCATCCCCTACCAGCATAGTCTGGAGACTCTCATTTCTACTTTGAAAAGAGGCCTGTCCCCATCTCACCCTTCTATGCCTGGCTGAGATCATTTTCACTTGAACAACTACTTGAATTTGTTTCACTTTCTCCAGGTCAAAGGTGGGACCTCGCATGGGTCCCAATTGTACCTGTCTCTTTGTGGAGAAAGTGGAATATTTTGTTCTTGGCAACTCAGTGCCACCTCACACAACTTTCCCTGATACATTGGCGTTATCGTTACAGCTTTGTGCTTTTGACCACAATTGGAAAAATCAATCAGTTTTGCTTCCTATTTCCATTCTGCTCTCAGCTTCATGTGGGCAATCTTAACTATTCCCTTCCTTGACTTCAGTATTTCCTTTTCAAGGGATAAACTGTTCACCAATTTTTTTTTTTTTTTTTTTTATTCACTTGTCAGATGTGGATGTCACTGGCTGGCCAGCATTTATTGCCTGTCCCTAGTTTCTCTTGAGAAGGTGGTGGCGATCCCTGACTGCTACAGTTATCTTGACTACATTTCCATTTTCTGAAGAAGGGTCTAGGCCCGAAACGTCAGCCTTCCTGCTCCTCTGATGCTGCTTGGCCTGCTGTGTTTATCCAGCTCTACACCTTGTAATCTCCTACCTTACATTTCCTTATACCCTGCTTCCTGCAAGCCCTCAATTCTGTTCTCTGTTTCTCTATCATTTCACATCTGTTTTGATTATCCTGTCTTTATTAAAATTCTGACATTCTCCTTTCTCCTCGACTGAGGATTCCCCCCACATTGGTAGACAGGACCCTCTGTTGTGTATGACCCATTTGCTGCACTTCTGTCCACACCCCTTCCAGTCTAACCAAGAACAACAATGAGCTCACTTTCCACCCCATTGGTCTCCCCATTCAAAACATCACTTCATGGGGTGGAGATGATGTTGTAGTAATGTCACTGGCTTAGTATTCCAGACTCCCAGGTTAATGTTCAGTGGGCATAAGTTCAAATCCCACCATGGCAGATGATGAAATTTAAATTTGAATTCATTGGAAATCTTGAATAAAGACATGAGCTTAAAGCAATGACTGTAGAATGATGGAAAGCTCATTCTTTGAGGAAAGTATGTCTGTCATCTGTAACTCCAGACACACAGCAATATGGTTGACTCTGGACAATTAGGGACAGGTTCCATTTTCGTTATCTCCAGCAGCTTGCCATCCATCTTCCTTTTCCCTCCACTGCCAGCATTTTGGCAGAGGCTATTTCCTCTGTGGCATCCTCGTCCACTCATAGAGTCACAGAGAGGTACAGCATGGAAGCAGGCTGGTCCAACTCTTCCATGCCAATTGAATATTCTAGATAAATCTAGTCCTGTTTTCCAGCATTTAGCTCATATCCCTCTAAGGAGAGGTCCTTAGTGAATACTTTTCTTCAGTATTCACAACTGAGAGGGACCTAGTTGTAGAGGAGGACGTTGTGAAACAGGCAGGTAGGCTAGAGGAGGTTGATGTTAGTAAAGAAGATGTGCTAGAAATTCTGAGGAAGTTGAAGATAGATAAGTCCCCCGGGCCTGATGGGATTTATCCAAGAATTCTATGGGAAGCGAGGGACGAGATCACAGGGCCTTTGGCGATGATCGTTTCATCCTCACTGTCCACAGGTATAGTGCCGGAAGATTGGAAAGAGGCAAAAGTCATTCCCTTGTTCAAAAAAGGGAACAGGGATAACTCCGGAAATTACAGACCAGTTAGTCTTACGTCAGTGGTGGGCAAATTATTGGAAAGGGCTCAGAGACAGGATTTATGATCACATGGAAAGGCACAGTTTGATTCGTGATAGTCAGCATGGATTTGTGAGGGGTAGGTCATGCATCACAAACCTTATTGACTTCTTTGAAAAGGTGACCAAACACGTGGATGAAGGTGGAGCAGTGGATGTGGTATACATGGATTTAAGTAAGGCGTTTGATAAGGTTCCCCATGGTAGGCTCATGCAGAAGGTAAGGAGGCATGGGATAGGGGGAAATGTGGCAGATTGGATTCAGAATTGGCTGACCCTTAGAAGACAAAGGGTGGTAGTGGACGGAAAATATTCAACGTGGTGCTCAGTTACGAGTGGTGTACCACAAGGATCTGTTCTGGGTCCTGTTCTATTTGTGATTTTTGTAAATAATTTGGATGAAGGGCTGGAAGGGTGGATTAGCAAGTTCGCGGACAATACAAAGATGGGTCATGTTGTGGACAGTGCAGAGGGCTGTTCTAGGTTACAAAGGGACATTGATAGCTTGCAGAGCTGGACTGAGAAGTGGCAGATGGAGTTTAACCCTGAAAAGTATGAGGTGATTCATTTTGGAAGGACAAAATTGAAAGCAGAATACAAGGTTAACGGGAAGATTCTTGGCAGTGTGGAGGAGCAGAGGGATCTTGGGGTTCATGTCCACGGTTCCCTGAAAGCTGCCACCCAGGTGGATAGGGTTGTTAAGAAGGCGTATGGTGCGTTAGCTTTCATTAATAGAGGGATTGAGTTCAAGAGCCGTGGAGTTATGCTCCAGCTATACAAAAGCCTGGTTTGGCTACATCTGGAGTATTGTGTCCAGTTCTGGTCACCTCATTACAGGAAAGATGTGGATGCATTGGAAAAGGTGCAGAGGAGATTTACCAGGATGTTACCTGGAATGGAGGGAAGGTCTTACGAGGAAAGGTTGAGAGAGCTAGGGCTTTTCTCTTTAGAACAATGAAGGATGAGAGGTGACTTGATAGAGGTGTACAAAATGATCAGAGGTATAGATAGAGTGGACAGCCAGAGACTTTTTCCTAGGGTGGAGGTAGCTTTTACGAGGGGACATACCTTTAAAGTGAAAGGAGGTAGATATCGGGGAGACTTCAGAGGTAGGTTCTTTACTCGGAGGATGGTAGGGGCGTGGAATGCATTGCCGGAGAGGGTAGTGGAGTCGGCCTCATTAGGGGCATTTAAGCAGCTATTAGATAGGCATATGGATGATAGTATAAGGTAGCGGTGGAGGTTAGATAGACCTTAGTTTCGGGTAAAAAGTCGGCACAACATCGTGGGCCGAAGGGCCTGTACTGTTCTATGTTGTAAACGCTTCGTATTCGTATACCCATCCAGATGCCTTGTAAATGTTGTAATTGTACTAGCCACCACCACTTCCTCTGGCAACTCATTCCATACATACACTACCCACTGCATGAAACAATTGCCCCTTAGGTCTGTTTTAAATCTTTCCCTCCTCACCTTAAACCTATGCCCTCTAGTTTTAGATTCCCCCACCCGGGGGGAAAGACCTTGTCTATTTACCCTATCCATGCCCGTCATGTTTTTATAAAGTTGTAAAGGTCACCCCCAGTCTATTCAGCCTCTTCCTATAGCTCAAACCCTCCAACCCTGGCAAAGTCCTCATAAATCTTTTCTGAGCCCTTTCAAGTTTAGCAACGTCCTGTCCTCTCTCCATGCGACTCCACTTTCAAGGCACTCCAAGGTCTGAAATCAGCAACACTCCCCAGG